GATGCCTCAGCCCCTAAACCTCAGACCCTAAACCCCGTTCGCCAAAAAACCCTCGAGCCCCAAGCCGAGATCCCCATTCAGCCGCATGCCAGAGATCCTAAACCCTAAACCACGTAAACCATGAACAAACCCAAAGCTGGAACAAAGCCATAAGCCCAAAATCCACAAGCCGAGAAAATTCCCGACCGGAAACGCTGACCTAAGGGCTAGGTCCGTGAAGCCGAACACTGAAGCCCTCGCAATTCCGCCAAAAGCCTGAGACATCATTCCCGCACCCCCAAGTACTCCTCATCCTTAACTCATCCTTAAGTCGCAAGTCCGAGGATCGCAGGTGAACTATCTGTCCGTCTGTCGAGCTATCGGTCTGTCTATCGGTATGTACACACCCGCGTACATGTTTACAACTTGAAGGGCAATATCAAACACCTAGACGCTGTGACGTGAAGGGCACCACGACCTCTACACCCACCCGCCCGCCCGCCCACCCGCCCACCCGCCCACCCACCCACCCGCTGCGGACTTCGCTGCGGAGCACAACAGCCGCCACCGCATGGTTGCATGCTTTGGACAGTAGCTCTGCATACTCTAAACATCTAGAGTCTGTAACCACTGAAATCCGTACGACCGGAATTTCCGAAACTTGCAATCCTAGTCTTGAGGACTGTTTGATGTGTTGCCTTCTCATTGCTAAAAGTTAGGCTATCTCACTGGTGTATCTTGACGAGGGTCTCGGGAGCTTTCACTTCGGGGCTTCCGGGCTTGCGGTCTCAGCCCCGAGCCCTAACCAACTTTCGTCCTGGGCCTTACACCGCACATGAAACACCCTAAAGCCTTGGCCGTCCCTGCCATGGAGGACTTTTCGCCTACTTCTAGCCCTTGCCAGGCACATCGGACGCCGACCTTCGGGGATGTTAGCCTTAGTAGTCCGCTAGGCCTCACTGGACTTCTGCGTTTGCTAGAAAGATTCTTGTTGTGTTTCTGGTAAAGCTGAGAGCAAACGGGTTGCATCAGTGAAGAGGAATCAGTCAGGACTTATGCGGTTGGGCATCATGCACGTGCTGTGGAGTATCAGTACTTCCCAAATTTCTGGTACGCTAAACCACAAACACTCAAGTCACCAGAGCCTCAGAGCAACCTAAACCCGAAGCCCTGGATCATGATATTTCCGGACCCGTTCTGCTTCCGAGGGCAAGTTGCCGCTTGCATTGACAATCGGGGATTTGAATGTGCGAATCTGAAATTAGGGCTCCTGCCGGGTGTAACGCTTTGATCTACGTATCTGCACCCCGGTCTAGGCTTTCGAACGGCCGCGAGACTTTCTCACTTGATCCGGCTATGGCCTACAGTCCGGGACGGGATAATCGTTGGCTCGAATTAAAGAACATGTCGAGAAGATCTGGAGCTGCTGTTGTAGTTGACAGGATCCGTCTGCTTGGAAAACGTGAAAGGTTTAAACTGACCATGAGCTCAACGTCTACAATTGAAGTCATGACGTTGTGGTTTAGTTGGCCCTGTTTGTTGTGACGGCACCTGCAGGACACTCTAGAAGAAGATGATGACACCCAACAGCTCGTGGACACAGGCATGGCCTCCGCCCCACGTCTCCCCGCATGCCTTTGGCCATTCCTAATTTCCGTGTAGTCTTTTATCGTAACTTTGCAGCCCTTACTGCCTCTCTAGTGTCGTGTGCGTGTGCGTGTGCGTGTGCGTGTGCGTGTGCGTGTGCGTGTGCGTGTGCGTGTGCGTGTGCGTGTGCGTGTGCGTGTGCGTGCGCGTGCGCGTGCGCGTGCGCGTGCGCGTGCGCGTGTGCGCGCGCGCGCGTGTGTGTGTGTGTGTGTGTGTGTGTGTGTGTGTGTGTGTGTGTGTGTGTGTGTGTGTGTGTGTGTGTGTGTGTGTGTGTGTGTGTGTGTGTGTGTGTGTGTGTGTGTGTGTGTGTGTGTGTGTGTGTGTGTGTGTGGGTGGGTGGGTGTGTGTGTGTGTGTGTGTGTGTGTGTGTGTGTGTGTGTGTGTGTGTGTGTGTGTGTGTGTGTGTGTGTGTGTGTGTGTGTGTGTGTGTGTGTGTGTGTGTGTGTGTGTGGGTGTGTGTGTGTGTGTGGGTGCTTTACTTTTGTGTTCCATTTTTTGCTTGCTTGCTTGTTTGTTTGTTTGTTTGTGTGTTTGTCGATTGCTTTACTTGTTTGTGTTTCTGTTTGATTGTTTGTTGCTTGCCTGCTTGATTGGGCGTTCAGGTTAATGCGTGTGTGGGTGGGTTGGTGAGTATGAGTGCGAGCGTGAGCGTGAGCATGAGCGTGAGCGTGGGTAGCAGCAGATGTACTAGCCGTAGTCGTAGCACTGATGTAGCAGCAGTACCAGTCCGCAGTAGACTGAAGAATTGCCTAAGCATCATGCTCTCGGAGTACGTAGCAACCCATGAACAATGAAACTTTAACACCATGAATCAGTGTGGACCTACATTATAAACTCCTACACTAAAAACACAGAAACCATAGCCCCTTGCAGCCTATCCTTCATCACAGGATGGCGGATCGAATAGCAACTTTGCTGTACAGATAGAGTCTGGGGTTGAGGGTTTCGGGTTGTATGGCATGGAGGCATGTTCGTTCGATATCCACCAACCCAGCCTTTCATTTTTGCTGGGGTGAATCTCCGACGGAATGAAGCAGCGATCATCGTTGAAGCCGAGCGAATTTGCAAATCCCGGGTCAATATTATTTGGAGGGTGTGTGCATCTGACTGGATCCTTAACAGATACTACTTCTTGATGGGCAATACTGCACTCATCAGAGCGGGTGCCGAGTCCCGCCAGCCACAGGTACATGCATGAGTACGGTACTGACTTGATGTCGCAACCCGAAGAGAAAATCCTCCAAGATTGTAGTATAGAGAACCCAGCATCCATGAAGCCCGAACCAAGCCTTGACCCCGTCAATCAGGCTTCGGGATTTTCCTGTATTAGTCCAGCAGTTGGCTTCTTAAGTCCGGGGTACGCAGCAGACACGTGTGTGTATCTATGTTTGAGTATACAGATATACCATCGGATACCGAGTGTGATTGAGCATGGACAGGCATAACCACACTATTGCAAATTATTATACACACTAGATACATCCCATGAGCGAAAGTGTGTCAATATTTATCTATATCTATATATACATGTACATACATACTTACATACGTATATACAGAAGCATACTAAAACACACACACACACAAACACACACACACATGCGTTGGTGTACGAATGTACGTGAGCGTGTTGTCTTCGCCCACATAGGTATCTTCCTCTCTCTCTCGCTCTTGCTCTTTCTCTCTATCTCTATATGCTTGTGACAGCTTGTGTATATGTGTTTGTACATGTCTATATATATATATATGTATGTATGTACCCTTGTACACACGTGCGGGTATACGCTTATAAACAAACCAAAGCATAGAGGCATGGCTTGCTTCCAGCGGACAATTTATCTATCTACATATACATATATGCCTAATTGACAGTCTGAAGCCAGTATGTAAAGAAAGACATGATCACTCATCAGCACGACATACCTGGCATAAGAAATAGCATCTCCCCAATGAAGGTTCTGACTTGAGATGATGTTCCTTGTACATGCGTGAACGAGGATCGTTCTGATGTGTGTAGCACACCTGAGACGACCATGTACACCTTGTGCTATGTCTTCAAGAAACACATCTCGCAGTGAAGTAGCAGGTGCGATAGTAAGACAGAACATAGATGTGCAGGAACAATATACAGGCGCATAGCTTAAGCACACAAAGTTGGCGAACATGAAACTCAGCATCATTTGCGGTAGAGCCGACTCCTAGCCTGTACGAACAGCGGACGTGAAGCAAGGAGTTCGTTTTTCCTAGTGGGCCTGATTACTCGATGTACATGTGCATGTACATTTTCTTTCTGATAATTTGAGCGTGTATATACATAACATAGTTTTTCTGAGCTCTGCCCGAGTGTTGCGTTTGTCCGTGGGCGCGTGTAAAGAGACATAGTGATGTATCCCCTTGATTAAAGAGTGTATTCCTGCATATTGTCCTGAGAAAATACACTGCCGTGTCCGGTCTTTTGCTGAAGCATGATGCATGATGGAATGCCAAAGATTCTGGGCAAAGAAGGAGGGCTGATAAAGTAAAGGCGACGAGTTTTATTGTATATACGAGTTTTGATATGTATATCACATGTGTTCTGCAAGACTCGCCCCGTAATCCTGGGGCATTTTCTCGATTCGTTTTGGTACCGCGCTGGACCCTGCCGAACAAATGGAGAATACAATTCGTTCCTGAAGCTTGACCAGTGATGGTTGGTGTCAGTATGAGTCAGGCTTGTGTGTTTGTGTATTGAGGCCTTCGCTCGTCTCAGAACTTGCAATACGGCTCCGCTAGTGGTGCAATGCTGCCTTTATGTGTTCCGTTTTCCTTGTGTCTTGATTCGATGCGTGCCTTTAATTCGCTTCTCTTGTATTCAGAATTACTTGCTTGTTGGAGGTTACGATAGAAACATACTCAAGGTAACATGGACCTAGATGCCCACTTCCGTGTCTATGCATCTGCCTATGAATCTATTTTCATGGAAAGCCCTAGAGAACACTCAAGCTTTACACTGCCGTTTCAACATGTGTCAAAACACCAGTTTTGCATACACATTGACAGAAACAGCAGGAAGAGTTCGAGACCCATTTGGTGTGGAACTAACTTGGCAACTCAGGCATGCAATGCCTTGTGGCTGTGAATAGTCGGCCCGTTTTGATCCAGTATTGCCTACATGTTGAGTCTCAAGCGCAACATCCACATCTCAAGATTGCCTTAGTTTAGAGCACGGATGTCACAGATAACCAATCGCACAACAGCGGCCTACATCCCAAGCCCCGCAGCCTAGCCACTCAGGCTTCCAGATCGCCAAGTGGCTCTCGTCTCGACACCAGGTTCAGCTGAGAGCCGACCCATGTGCGCAGAGGCTTCCATTCGGACAGCTGCTGCAGGAAGTTATGGACGCTTATGGGAAGCAGTCGCCCGGACCTCGAATTGTTGCCATCAGCTCGTGCACCTTGGGTTTTCCATAAGCACAAGGCCGAGCAACAAGTCCATCCAGCACTTCTCCGACCAGTCGTGCCCGTCCTGCTCACCAAAAGCTGACATGGAAACGGCATGCATAGCAGCCATTAAGCACCATTTGCGAACACTTCTGAGCGCAGGTACTCGGAGTCATCCACTTCAACTTCTGATGCTGGCAGCATCTTGGGACTGCTCGAGGCCTTGCCCAGCGGAACTCCGTGAATTTGAGCCAACCGAGCTCCTGTGCAGGATGCTTTTCTTCGCTACCACGAGGCGCACCCGCCATTTGTAATCCCTCGGCGGTTGTTTTGCAAGGGTTCTCAGCCTGAACCGAACCTTTGCACTTCCGTCGCGGCCCAAATCCACCACACTGGGTGGTCAGGACATTGCCTTCTTGCTAGGCTTAGGAGGGGCTTCTGCGGCTTCTGGCTGTTTAGGTTTCAGGCAGAAGGCCACCGATGTTGGGAAGGAGGTTTCTTGGCTCTCCAGCTGTTGCAATCAGGCCCGCGAAGCAAAAGCCAAGGCAGAGCGAGCGATCGCAGAGACCCCAGCACGATTTCCCGGGTTAGCATGGATTCGCTGGAAAGCTCTTCAACTCCAAATCTCTTAAACCGTGGAGCTTTCCGACATCAGCCTATAAACAAGGTATGGCACCTCAAGGAGACAAGAGCCCCAAATCTCCAAACCTAAAGGTAGAGAGCCCTAATCCCCACAAGAAGCTTCTCGTACAATCTTTACGGACAGCGTGCTTGCAACCTCATCGCACACCCGACAACAGCAACCTATACAACACCTGTCTTTCAGCTGAAGCCGTACACCGAGTGGCCGAGCCGGCTGGCGCTCGAAACTCTTGATCCCAAACCCGAGTTTGGCTGCAACAATAAAATGAAAGGAACAACCTAAGCCCGTAAGCTCCAAATCCAAGATTTGAGGTTCGCGTCTACTGTTTGTGGGTTTGGGGTTTGAGGTGGATCCGAAGCAAGGTGCTTCAAGCCCGAAGCCCTATTCCACTTCTAGCTGGCAGTTTGGCTGCAGGTTGGGCTTTGAGGTTAAAAGTTAGGGATGAAAAGTTTCGGGTTTAGAAGGTTTAGCAATTGCACTTTGGTGGTCTAGGTCTCCAGGGTTTGGGAATGCAGATTTCAGAGCCCCAGACTATTGGATTGTACAGTTGAGGCCTTTAAGTTCAAGGGTGCAGTAGGCTGAGGAGTTGAAGTCTTGGGTTGGTCCGCGGGTTCTGATGCAGGCCTGTGCCAATGCTCTAATGTAGAGTTGCTTATGGCGAAACAGCCGGCACCCATGTACCACTCTTTTGACCCAGAGCTGCGTGCAAGGGCGTCGGGGACACGGAACATCCTGAGGACCTGAGCTCCGAAAGTTTGCTGCCGGGGGTTTTGGGGCCGGGGGATTTTGGCGAAGTGGGATTTCAGGCTTCGGAGTGCGGGGCATAAGGCCAAAAGCCATGCACCTGATCTGGATCTTGCTTTGGTTGTACATCACATACCAGTCTAGCTACAAACTAGTTTCGGGTTTTAATTTGAGGAGAATCCCAAGAGATTGCAATACCGCTGAAACAGGGATGCCGCTGAAGTCCGAAGAACAAGCCCGTATATAGTTTGAGAGTATTCCTAAAATGAGAGATTCTGGAGTCTCTGGGCCCACCCCAAGCCCGAAGACATCAAACAACAAACTCAGCTACAGAATATGAGCCCCGGCACTGTTGATTCACAGCAGCTGTAAACACTTGTACATAGGTATACAGCATTTTTCGAACGAGAAGCTAGAACAGCCTAAAGCCCTCTCAAGATGCTAAAATCCACACGGATAAAGGCGTGCAGCCTTGGGTGCACCCCTTTACGGCAAACCCTGAACTTTCAACACTCCTGAAACATTCTGAACCCCATTCGGAGGAGCCAGCTGCCTTGGAGGAGGCTCCAGCGCCGGCGCAAGCTGTATAACGGTGCTAGCAGGGCTTTGAACGGCTGCCTGTCGCTCGAGAAAGGTTTTAGAACAGGCGATGCAAGTTATCAGAGTTCTTTCTGCAGGGATGCAAGCGAGGTTCTCGAAGGAGGGGATTTGGGATGGCTAAACAAAGTGGCCGGAGCAAGTTCCTGCCAGGGTTGTATATCTGGGCGGTTTAGATGTTGCTTGCTTGGCTCGGGTTTTGCTGCAGTGTAGGGGTCTCACTTCTGAGGGCGCTACACTGCTACACTAAGGGCTCTTTCAAGGGTTCCGAGGAGTGCTTTAGGTTTTTAGGCTGTTTAAGATTTCGGATTCTGGGTTCTGAGGTTTAAGAGTCATGGAGCTTGGAGAGTCATCATCGGCGCGCGGTTGATCGGCAATTCAAGATAACACAGCCCTGGTGTTGTAGCGTTCCTCTGATAACTTGTGGACTCATCCGTTCATATCCGAAACGGAAAGCCCCAAAACCTCAACCCGAAGTTAGCTATACCTTCAGACGGGAACGAATGTCAGTCCTCGAAGAGTGCTCTGCCCGTGTCGAACGGGAGTTTGCCAAGTTGCAGGCTTTTTCCCATGTACATTTGCAGATACACGCTGCATTTCTTGATGCCTGCCTTCGGCAGGCCCTACCGAACTTGCTCCGCCCGTTGCGGGCGCCAGGTTTGCAGCTTAGCTTTTTTCGGGCACGGCAGAAAGGAGCATAGCAGGGCAGATTGTGGCACAGTTCACACTACGCCCTGCATACTAAACCATAAACCCTAAACCTAACTGAAGTCCCCCCCTGCTCCCGACTCAGTCCACAACGGCCTCTGTGGCGCTTGCAGCCAGGCGCTGGGCGGCTTGGGGAGTAATTACTTCGAGAGCTTTTGGAAAAGGGTTCTTTGAGATTGCTACAGGGTGATACATATGTGGTTCTACTGGACTTTGTGGTGGTGTTTCTTGTCTTTCTTTGGTAGGATTGAGGTAGCTTGTTGGTGATACCTTCGGAAGTACTGTATATTCAGCAACTGCAGTCTTAGGCAGGTTTGGCAGGATCAGGTACACTCCTCGCAGTAGTCCTCACACGATCGATTTCAGTTTCTGCGAACTCTAAACTGCTAGACCCCCAGCCTGCATATACTCTGTATGAGATCACTCCCCCGGGGGTGGATCAAGGTGTAGCATATCCAAGAGAAAGAGAGCCGACGGGGGCCGGGATGCCTCAGGCATCCTCAACTTTAACTGCAACTTTTTTTTTCATCTGGGTTCCTCTTTGTGTGCACTTGCTTTGATTTCTTCCCCTGTGACTCCCAGTTGTTTCAGTCATGCGAACAATGTCCAGGTGCTTCACCTGGGAGCGCTTAACCTGTTCTCTAGCATCTCCTTCCTGAAGCTGGAATATGGATCACTCAACCACTATTCCTGAAGCCATTCATCACCCCTAGAGAGTACAGAGCCTGAACCCTAAGACTCCAACCCCAAAGCCCTAGAGCAGAGCGCGGATAAGACCACAAGCACCAAGTGTGGAAGCAGGGTTAAGCGTGAATATAGAAATTTAGGCATTTTGAGGTTTAGGTTGAGGGTGTGTAGGGCTTCAAGGTTTCGGGGTGCAGGGTCATGGGGTTCAGGGTTTATGCTTCCCGAGCCTTGTTACAACTCAATACTGTGGAGATCTCAGACAGACTCGCTTTACCCCCAACTCGATGTACTTGAGCACTTGATTTGTGGTATGCATCTTGCTGATTTCAATTCTAGCCGTCGGGGAGCGTTCTTGGAGCAGGCGCAGAGCGTGGGCCACAGCAACACGGAGCTGAATCACCTCCCCGAGCACAAGAGTGAGGCGGCACGTGACACTGAGACCGCCGTCCGAGTTCGGCAACGTCAGAATGAGTGATGGCATCACTCAGGTCGGCGTGCTGAAAAAAGCGTACACCAACAAGACTCGAAAGGCTCGCAATTCGCATTTTCGTTCTGCTTGTGCAGGTAGCCTTGTCTTTGTTGCAGGAAATGGAAAAGCTACGCCGTGCAGCCCGCGCACAGGAGATGGCAAGGCGCCGCGCGGCCCGCGCCGCCCAAAAATCCCGCAAGCCCTGAACCCATTAACCGGCAATTCTATAGACTCCAGACCGGGCCTCGGGCACACGGGTTGCCGTGAGATTGCAGTATCCCCCCGCATCACGACTAACATTGCGAGAAGCCCCGCGATCCCGAAGCAATGCACTGTAATCTAGATAGGTAGATAGATAGACAAAAGGATACAGATGACATATTCAGTGTAGGCATCAGATGCCTCAGCATCATCAGAGCTGGAATTTCGCCGCGGTTTTCTTTGGACTGCTTCGGCACCGGAGGCATCTGAGGTTTCTCGGGGTCTTATACGTCTTGTGGATAAGTGTTTAGGGTAGGGTTCTGATCTCCTGGGTTTCTGATTTCGAGTTTCACAACAAGTTCCGTTGCAGTTGACGCTGCATTGCCTGCTGCTGTTCGCGAAATTTGCGAGCACAATGCATGAATTGAGCATCAGCGGGTATCAGCACAAGGTCAAGTTCCCGTGGTCTTTGTACCCGGGAAGTCGGCTCTTGCTTCTTTCAGCAGGGTTATATGTCTTCTTATGCTTGTCGTGGCTACCGCATACTCCCTCAGCCAGTGCACAAGTTTTGAATTGATTAATTACATCTCAAGATTGGATGCTGCTAAAATACAGTTCGCATGCAAGGCCATGTAGGGTTGCAGATGAACCCGAAATCCCAAGCCACAGGGGCATGCAATAGCATCCACGTACTTGCGAGAACAATGATGCTGAGCCAAGTGATTTTGAGACAAATGAAGAATGATACTCCAAGTCAGTTGAAGAACGGTTCTTAGGCAACCGCCCAATGAGACCTTCCTCCTAATTGCATTCGACATGGCATCTCGATCACATACAGCAAAGAGATTGCTGGACACTTTAGAGTTTAAGGAAACATCTAAGCAAGAGAAGTCCAGCACCTTGCCGCACTACCTGGTTCCTATGATATGAAACACGGACTCCTGTGGACTGTCATCACGTACAGTAGACTTCCAGCTAATGCGTTGACTTCTGCCGGCTCTTTGGATCCCATATGGTGTCCGCATGTGCTTCTCAGCCTTCTAAGCTTCTGGTAGGGCTCCGGCAACGTGTCGCCCAAGTCTGATACGTGCTTCTGGTTTCGGGGCTCTAAACCGGAAGGGACCAAGTGGGGATGTCCTTAAGACGTCCGATAGGTTTTCGAATGCTTCCTCAGATGAGGTCAGGTGTTGGGCCGGGATTCGGAGCAGCCACTTCGCGGGCTTGGAAGATCGGGAGCCAGGCTTTCAATGCTGCACTGCTGATCTCGAGATGTTTCACTTCGCATCGCCGAGGCTTTCCGCAATTGCGGATGAGCCCAGTCCTGTCTTGACATTTCCGTGCAAAAGAGACGCAAGATCGAGATCCGGCGGTTTATGCTTCATCCCTGCAGTGGCCTTGAACCTTGCACTCTACTGTATGAGCAACACTGAGGCATCGACTCTTTGATGCGGACTGGCAGAGACCATCCCAATGTGCGCCTTCGGAGCGTTGAACTCCGAACCCCGAAGCGAGGTCGGGTTTTAAGCCAAGGGTGCACGTCCTTTCAGGCCGCTCTTCCAGGCTGCTTTGCTTGAGGTTTGGGGCTGAGGGCTTGGGTTCTTGAACCCTCGCTTGGCATGTAGTTCGAAGTGTGTACACCTTCTCCAAGTCATATCTTGCCCCGTGAGGCCAAGTGGATTCGAGTGGATGCGTCCACTTTGAGGCATCTCCGCAATGAGGCCAGCAGGCCAATTGTCTTCATGTCCCAATGGTTGGCTTCCTCGTGATCAGGCCTATCGCTTTCCAACGGATTGAAGCACTCCTCCGACAGGCCTGTAGAGAGTAATTGCTTACATTTTAGCCCTCAGCCGCTTTCTAACTCGTTCTGTTCGTTTAGGAATGTGCCCCCTGCCAGGCATGGGGGTGGAGGTCCATTGTCTCTTAGTAGTAGTGTAGTAGTAGTAACAGTACCAGCTGTAGTAGCAGTAGTAGTAGTAGTAGTAGTAGTAGTAGTAGTAGCAGTAGTAGCAGTAGTAGCAGTAGTAGTAGTACTAGTAGCCGTCGTCGTAGCAATAGTAGTAGTATTTAGGTGGTAGAAGTAGTTGCTGGTGTTGATGCTGCCGCAGCAGCAGAAGCAGGTCTCGACGCAAACAAACGCTTGTGAGCATGTGCATTAAGTTCCAGTTCTCCTTCGGTGCTCTTCGGTGCACTTGCTGACTCCCCAGGGCTGACGGTCTCTGAGACGTCATGCCATCAACAGGCCGCTCGTCATCTGACGAATGACTAGGCAGAATCGCTCACAGGCTTTCTACGACTGATTTCGTGCTCACCTGCGCCACGTCTGGATGGTGTTGCGCTCGGCAGACATAGTTGCTGGATAAAGTTTGCCAATGTTGATGTCAAGTTGATGTGTTTGGGACGCTGGCCTAACATTCTGCCCCTGATTCGCCTCAGCAGCAACAGTGTGCCCGGTGAGAAGGTGCTGTAGCCCGGCCTTGTGTTCCATGCACCTTCCAAGCAGACAGACCGAAGGCTTGTTGTGATCTCTCTGCTAATTGCCGAAGTCGCCAACACCTGCCACGGAGGATGCGGTGCTTGTGGAACGTGCAACACTCAGTTTCTTCTGGATGCCCTTTTCAAGGTCGAAGGCACGAGCAGTTTTGAAATGAGATTTTTGTCACCCCGAGGTTCGAGATACAGTGTTACGGCCGACATGTGCCCAAACAGAGCCACCAATGCCTGCAGCACAAAAAAGTTTACGTCCGACATATGCCCCCTGAGATCCTGGGCCTCCTGGGGTCATTGGTGGCTGCAGATGCTGCTGGAGAGCTCGGCATGCTTGTGACTTTGTGATTCCTTGAAACTTGAAAATCGCCGAGCTCCGAAATGTGAAGCTTCTCGGTACCCTGGGAGCAGCTCTGTCTAGGTAATGGGCTTCGCTCCAGTCGTTTTTGTAGATTCTTCGTAGCGTGAGTGCTTGCACCAACTTCGGCTGACGTGTCCTCAAGCATTCACGCCTCGGACAGGGTACCTCAAGTCTCTCTCTCCCTCCCTCTCGCTGTCTCTCTCTCGCTGTCTGTTTCTCTCTCTCTCTCTCTCTCTCTCTCTCGATCTCTCGATCTCTCTCTCTCTCTCTCTCACTCTCTCTCTCTCTCGCTCTCTCTCTCTCTCTCTCTCTCTCTCTGTCTCTCTCTCTCTCTCTCTCTTTCCCCCTGTATCTCTGCATCACGCGCGGACGTTATGCTGAGTATGAAAGCACCAGGTATGCGCAATGCCATCAGCAGTAGCCAACTTCAAATGAACGCATGATGAAAGCATGTTCTATGGGCCTTTCGGGAGAGGGTCCTCTTCCAAGGGCATCGAAGTGTGGCTTTCGGTAAATGGAAGCACGGAAGCAGGTTTCTTGCAATAGAATGACGGCTCTTGTTGAGTCTCTGCCGAGGCCGGGCCAAGGCTAGCGTCCATCGTGCCGGTGCTGGAGCCACCGAAGGCACATGGCTTATCGTTTCTATCATTTCGGCTTGCTGTGCTATGCATCGTGCAAAAACCTTTGCATTATCAAACGTTCAGAAGTGCTTGAGTTCTCCACACCTGAAGGACACTGTAAGCTTGTAATGCCAAGCTCCATCCTTACATCCTGTATCCTCATACTGTAGTGTTGTAAACTTTAAGGACACTACAAAATTGTGACGCCAACCAACGTCTACCCCTGAATTTTGTGTTTCAGATTATGATCAAAACTTCTCAAACAATTCGGGACACGATAATATGTTTGTAGCACCGACTTCCAGCTTCAATACTGTATCTTCGCGTTGAAGACTTTGAAGCTAGAAGTTTGTAACGCTGCTGTCAACCCTTAACCTTGATTTTTTCATTGTAGGTATTACACGAAAAAGTCGTGTCGCCAACGTACACCCTTCAATCGTTGCATTTGTTGTAGTGTGTACTCTGTAAACTCTTAAGGCCACTGTAAGAGTGTAACGCCGAAGTCCATCTTTGGAGTGCTGCATCCTTGTGTTGTAGAAAGTGCGTTACTTACGGACATTGTAAGTTTGCAACGCCAACATGAACCCTTCTTTTGTTGTATCCTTGTGTTGTAGCCTTTGCAAGCGACACTATAAGTTTGTAACGCCAACATCCACCCTTGAATTTCTCATTTCTGTATTGTAGCATTCTCGACACGGACACTACTATATGTAATTCCAACGTCCACCCGAGTTTGTTTTGTATCCTTGCATTGTAGACATTGTGAACTTTAAGGATACTATTCGTTTGCAACGCCACCGTCCGCCCTTAATTTGTGGTCTTGTTGTACTGTACGTTTTGGAAACTTAACGACACCACAAGATGATAACGCCAAGGTCCACCCTCACTGCCAACGTCCCCCTGTAGTTTCGCATATGTTTTGTAAAGATTGGACACTGTAAGTTTGTAAGCCCAACATCCACACTTAAATTCTGTATCCTTGTATTGTAGAGCTTGTAGCTCTAAGGACACTACAGGTATGTAACGCCAACGTCCACCCTTGAATTTCTTGTCTCTGTATTATAAAGTTTTTAAGCTTCACGGACACTACAAGGTTGTAACTCCAACGTCCACCCTACAATCTTTGTATCTTTATATGGTAGACTTTGTAAACTTTAAGGACACTGTGCGTGTGTAAAGCCCACGTCCATCCTTTGGGTGCATCTTGGTATTGTAGATTTTGTACACTTTCAGGACACTATAAATCTGCAATGCCAACGTCCACCCTTAAATTTGTGCATGTTCATATATATATATATATATGTATATACATATATGTATATGGCTACTAGCCTTTATAAGCGTAAGAACACTACAAGTTTGCAACGCCAAAGTCCGCTATGCGGGTGCTTCTTTGACATATTCACGGCTTGTTTTTGGGCTAAGGTGATGGCTTCTGTTGTTTCGTGCTTCAACTATTGCTGCTGGTTCATGGTTCTAAGACTCTCCGGCACACTCTCGGCAAACCCTGAAGCTACCAACCTCAAGCCTCAAAACCTGAACCTCGAAGCAGACGCCCATGGTATTGTTGGTACCTAATTTGACAGCAGTGTGATTGGAATTGGAATCGAACTTCAGGCATCCCCGAAGCTGAAGACTTGGCCCCCCCCGTCCCAACACAGGCGCGAGTTCCGGTGATCGATGTGGGTGTCGAGGGAGCTGCAGCCCGAGCTTAATTGCAGAGTGCGATCGCTTTCATCTGCCGGGGCTGGTCTAATCCAGCCTTCACCTTCACCTGCCAGTCACGTCCTTTAAGCATGCTTGGTGCGTGCACTAGACGATGTGGGCGTTCAGCACGGCTGCCGGCAGTGTTGCAAGTTGGGGCTAATGTTTGCATTGATACCCGTACTCTGAGGTTGATATGAGCACAAGTACCAGGGCTTCCACTGTGGCTCTGATCGTTGTGAGCGCCAGAAATACTCCACAGCTTTACTTGGATGGTCTTTGGGCTAAGATTGGTACATAATGGTACGTATTGACTTTACCGGATGACAGAGCTTAGGGCTACATGTTTCAGGCTGTCACTATTGAAACACTGGTGCCAGCATTTTTGAAGCCAGTAGAAGCTCGATGTGTCGGAGTCCACAATCGCTTCTGCTCCCAGCTGCCGTCACGGCGGCCGGTAGGCCATGACGATGTCAATGATAAATGCTCTGCTGATGACCACTTGTGGTGCTGACTAGATTTGTTTGATCATGTCACGCTGAGTGTGTATGTGTATGCGTCCTCAGTCTCGCCAAGCCTCAAATCCTTCGATCATTGGCGCTTGGATTTCGATAGCCCAGCGACTCAGCATTAGCTAGCATCGACTGACGTTGCATGCTTTTTCCTCGTACTGTGTTGTCTTCACTTCTGCTACAAATTGGCATCCCCATGTCGCTGCCCGCTGCGCGATTCCTCGTCGAGCCTGGGCCAGAATCGGTGCAAGGTCCTATCAAGTTGTGAGTCGGGCTCTTTCAGTTCCAGCTTCACTCGTTCTTTCCCGGGAGCGTGTCTCGGGGCGGACTTCCCAAAGGCACTGCCGTGAACTCTCAACTCATGATTATTGTGATTTCTCAT